GAAGCCACTGAATTATCCATACAATTTAATCCAGATTTAACAATCAGATTCACCACGTGAGCCAAACATCTAACATGGAGATATTTCCCCCTAAAACAAGTTGTTTATCACCATTGTTAAGCTTTCTTTTCATATAATCCAGTGCAACCTTGTTGGCAGATGCATTATCAACTGAAATGGTCAAAACTTTCCTAATTGACCACTCTTGCAAACAATTTTCAAGAAGCTTTCCTATTGTTATCCCTTGATGATTTGGAATGACACAGAAATTAAGAATCCTCTTATGCATAGTCCAATTAGCATCAATGAAATGAGCTGTTAGCACCATATAATTGATGTTTTGGATAGAAGTCCATGTGTAGGTTGTCAAACTAACACAATGATTCTTAAGTTCAGTTTTTAAAGCTTCTTTCTTAGCATTGTACATACTTAAGAAAGACTTAACCACAACTTTCCTACTAGGAATTTGCCACTTAGGAACAGCTACAGCACAAAATCTCCTAAAACCACTCTTTTCAATTGCAGAAAATGGCATTTCATCAATCACAATCATTTCAACAGCAGCATTAGTGCAATTTTCTTGTGTCCAATGTGTAACAACAACATCTTTACCCTCTAAATCCACTGCAAAATGTTTCTGACCCTCTCTTAAGTTTCTAGCACTACCTGGATAACTATCACAAGGCAATTCAAGGTGTTTTTGGAGAGTACTAGTCCCATTCCTAGTTGAGTTGCAAGCTAGATCAGATTCGCAATACTTACATTCAGCCCGGGTAGTTTTTCCAGCTTCCACCTTCACACCCTCTTCATTTGCAACCATCAGTGGCTTATGGACGATTTTGAAGTGGCCCCACACCCATGACCTCTTCTTCTTTTCTTCTGAAGCCTCCCGTAATCTTCTTTTCTTCTGTGGTTGTGGGTTCTTCGAATTAGGGTTCTGCTTCTTCCCTTTTGAGGTACCAACATCTTTAGATGGGTTTGAGCTTTGACTGTGGCTACTTTTTTCAGATTCTGAAGCCATGAGCAATTGAGAATCAAAGAATGAAAGAAGAGGGAGTTTTAGGGTTCAGAACTTCAAATTTTGAAGCTCAAAAGC